GGCTGGGTGTAGTGGCTCATGCTTGTAATCCCAGTACTTTGGGAGGCTGAGGCAGGCGGAGTGATTGAGCCCAAGAGTTTGAGACCATCCTGGTCAACATAGCAAGGCCTCATCTCTACAAAAAATTTAAAAATTAGCTAGGCATAATTGTGTGCACCTGTAGTTCCACGGCTTCGTTGAGCCCTGATTATACCATCATACTCCCTACTTGGCAACAGAGTGAGACCCTGACTCAAAAAAAAAAGTGTGGTCTGGATTAAAAGAGACTAGAAAGATACAACATCTGAATGCAACATGTGAACCTTAGTCAAAACCTGGTTTAGGGAGAAAAAAGCTATGAAAGACATTTTGGGGACAGCGAGGGGAAACTGAATGTAGATTGGATATAAATGATACTAGGGAGTTATTAATTTTTTTTTTTTTTTTGAGTTGGAGGCTCACTATATCACCCAGGCTGGAGTGCAGTGGCATGTTTTCCGCCACCACAGCCTCAACATGCTGACCTCTGGCGATCCTTCCACCTCAGCCTTCCAAATAGTTGGAACCTCAGCCTTCCAAATAGTTGAAACCAAATAGTTGGTGTGGCACTGCCACACCAGCTTATTTTTTTGATTTATTGTTGAGATGAGGTCTCACCAAGTTATCCCGGCTGGTCTTGAACCCCTGGTCTCAGGCAGTCCTCTTGCCTCGGCTTCCCAAAGTGCTGGTATTACAGGCTTAAGCCACTGTGCCCGGCCTTATTAATTTTCTTAGGTGTAACAGTGGTATTATGACTCATAGGAGTATATTCTTATTCTTAGAAGGCTCATGCTGAAGTATTTAGGAAGGAATGTCATAATGGCTGCGATTGACTCACAAATGGCTCAGTAAAATGTGTGTGCGTGTGTAAAGAGACATGCCTTTTAAAATGTCAAACTACTAATTGTGGAATCTAGGAAAAGGATACATGGTTGTTCATTGTACTGTTTTTTCAACTTGTCTATATGAAATTTTTTCCAAAAATTGGAGGGAAAAGAAAAGAGTGCATGGGATGAAAGGAAATAGAAACAATAAATATAGGGTCTGCTACAAAGAGAAAGCAACGATATGGGGCATTGGAAAGAAATGTGAGAATCAAGGTTTTTATTTTTTGTTTGAATTCTGGAGAGAGGACAGCTGATAGTAATAGTCCAATACAAAGGAAAAACTCAATGACCTAGCAGACAGAGGGGATTTAAAGATGGAGTTTTAACTTGAACATCAAAATCTGGCTCCTTAATAACTAGGGAGTTATTATTTCTAATAATTTCATCCAAAAAAGAAGTTGTTAAAATAGTTAATCATAGTCTTACATTATTTAATGTCTTTTTTTCTGCTTAAATAGCAATATTTTTTGACTTGTTTTCTGCAGGTTGTAGGAAGTGTCCTGTATTTTACTAATTTTTGCCTTGATAAATTGGGGCAACCGCTACTAAATGAAAACCCTCAGCTTACCGAAGGATGGGAAATACCCAAGTATCCTACATAGTGAATGAAGATCTTTTGTACATCTTGCCACTAAGTTCACCTTTAAACAAATTTCCAAATTTTGCAGACTATGATAACTATTCCTTAATAAAATTCACTAAAGGTACCAGCAAGTCTTCAGCCACATTGTTTCTCTAGAAGGGCAAGAAATACAAGTAAAGGCAAAAAGGTTTGTGTGGGGAGTTGTTTGTTTTATTCTTTTTTAAAAAAAAAAAAATCTAAACTATAAACTCTTAGCTTGAAAAGTTAATATTCTTTATTGCTGGTTTACTAGAAAGTAAATTATAGATTGAGCTAGAATTTTAATATATAGATATATATTAAATGTTTAAATTGATCATCTATTTCTTGGAATTCATGGGTTCACACCTAATGTGCCTGGGTGGGTGGAAAAGTATAATTGTTGCTGTCAGTTTTGCTGTCTTATAACCATCTGCCTTCTTTCCGTGATACCTACTGGAGATATGATAATCTTTTTGCTTCAATTCTTCACTTACTAATCACTGGAAAAAACTCAAAAGAAGTAACAGATCAGTCAGGAACAGATGGTTCTTGGTTAAAAGACTCTATTTGTTGTATTATTTGTTTAAATCACTAAGTACAGGAGATGTAAGTGTCCTCATTGTTGCAGATATTAGTGATCTGTGATCTACTTGCTTTTTGTCTCTGATACTCTTTGCTGTCATAGACAGTTTTACTGATTTGCTTTTATATGCATTATGAAAATCTTTGTTTTTTGACCAATAGGCCAAAGCCTCACTGTTTCAATTGTGGTTCTGAAGAGCATCAGATGAAAGATTGCCCTATGGTAAGTTTTTTTATATAAAAAAAACTTTGAGCAAGAGCTTTCTCATGTTTTGAGCACATTGATGGCATTGTGCAATATAAAAAACTTTCTTTTATACTCGTCTTTTAATTTGAAATCTTTTCAAACTATGCTTATATATTAAGAAATTTTCAAAAATTTATTATAGTACTATGTATTTGAGATGAATGAAATATGTAAGTTAATTTAGACAGCTTATTCTAAAACTTGATTTGATGTTGTAATACTGGGGTAATAACTAAAGTGACTGCTTCTCTTCCTTGCTTGTTTTTCTAAAGTATCCACCCGCTTTTAACACTTGTTCTTAATACATTAAAACTTAAATAATCAGCTGGGCGTTGTGGCTCATGCCTGTAATCCCAGCACTTTGGGAAGCGGAGGTGAGTAGATTTCCTGAGTCCAGGGGCTCGAGACCAGCCAGGGCAACTTGGCGAGATCTTGTCTCTACAATAAATCAAAAAATTAGCCAGGCATGGTGGGGCATGCCTGTAGTTCCAGCTACTTTGGAGGCTGAGGTAGAAGGATTACCTGAACCCAGCAGGAAGAGGCTGTGGTGGCCATGAGCACGCCAATGCATTCCAGCCTGGGCGATAGAGTGAGACTCCTACTCAAAAAAACAAAAACAACTCAAATAATTGGCTTAATCTTAAAAGAGTTTTTACTTAATTTCTGAAGTATTTCTAAATGGCTTGATACCATTTTCTTCAAATGTGTTATGAATTAGCCTCGGAATGCTGCTCGAATAAGTGAAAAGAGAAAAGAGTATATGGATGCTTGTGGTGAGGCAAACAATCAGAATTTTCAGCAGCGATACCATGCAGAAGAAGTAGAAGAACGATTTGGAAGATTCAGGCCAGGAGTTATCAGGTACTGCTGTCGTTTTACCCATAAAATGTCATTTTTATTTCCCTAGTATTTGGAATGTTCTGTGTATCTTCAGGAAGTACATGTACTCTAGCAAGGCCCTAGGTAGTATACTTTAATTCATTAAAAAATACATTGAAGCCGGGCTCATTGGCTCACCCTGTAATCCCAGCGCTTTGGGAGGCTGAGGTGAGTGGATTGCCTGAGCCCACGGGTTCAAGACCCGCCTGGGCAACTTGGCGAGACCTCATC